GACAGAACATTGTAGTAGTTTAGTTACCTTCTCCAATGCTATCTTAGGCCGGGCGCAAACGGAGCCACTAGTGGCCGCCACTTGTGGCTAAACACGACCACTAGTGGTCGCCACTTTATGCAGACATTTTCCCCAACCGCGCGTCAGTAGCACAATGGACTCCGATATGGAAGCATTGGTCGCAATATTAATAATACGACAACGCTGACGTAAACGACGACAAAGACAGCGCCGTTTTTGGATACATCCAATATTGCGAATTCGCAGCGAATACGACAATTTTGCTACGCTCATTCGAAAATACTTAAAAAATTTATCTTCGTGCCTCGTTAGCTCCTCAAAAAGCGTAGCAAAATGGCCGTATTCCCTGCGAGTTCGCAATATTGGATGTATCCAAAAACGGCGCTGTCTTTGTCGTCGTTTACGTCGGCGTTGTCGTATTATTAGTATTGCGACCAATGCTTCCATATCGGAGTCCATTGTGCTACTGACGCGCGGTTGGGGAAAATGTCTACATAAAGTGGCGACCACTAGTGGTCGTGTTTAGCCACTAGTGGCTCCGTTTGCGCCCGGCCTTTCTTCCCAAAGTAACACGAAATATCGTGTCTTGTTATCAAATAACTTAATCAGATTCACGTTAAACTCGTTTTCTGCTATGCAGGGTACAGAATGTTCTAACCCCGTGGGTTGGGCAGCCAAAGAAAAATGGTAACGAGTGTGTTCAGCAATTTAATTTTGAGGAATAAGCATGATTCGTGGGGCAAATATTTTAATGACACACGGTGATATGTAAAGTAGAACCCTTCGCCCACCTTTCAAACGCTGACGGTATGTCGCGGCTTTGTAACAGAGGATGTCGTGATGAGAAAGTATTAATAACTCTGTTAAAAGATTTAACTTTACACTGCTTCGTAATGGTTTTCAAAATGCGTGTCTGTAGTCAAAACCTCATTTAGACTAATATAATTGCTTTTGGGCTTTTGTCATTTTATATATAAGGAATAGCAATATTATTTTGAAGCAGAACGTAGAAATTAATTACTTACTACTTTTTTGGTGTCGTAGCATTGATTTGCTTGTGAAGAAATGCGTGGCTTTTCGGAATAAATTATCGTTTCGGTCTTTAGAGTAGACATAGAGGAAAAAGGTAATTTTATCGAAAATTTATGAAGTTGATTTCAAACAACCAGGAAAGAGAAGCCTTAGTTATGAGTAATATCTTCAACATTCATTCCGTTTCCCATCAGTGGTAAAATATGTTGGTATTCTAGGGCCTATAAAGTATTTTATAATTCTAGTTAAATGTCCGGTTCGTAACTAATTTACATGAACTAGCAGCGCTTGAACGTAATTACAAGGGACAGAGCCCCGCGGTCTCGTTAATTTAATTTAGTTTTACTCCAGTCATACACTCGTCAATAACTACGTATGCGTGAAGGATCCAAACGAGGAAAAGGGCACGCTATAGTTGAGCAAAATGCTTCTTTCTGTGCGATTTGCGCATGTCATTGAACAGAGACTTTAAGTAATCCTAGCGTTTCCTTCCTGTTTTTTAAAATATCTGTTGCTCTTGTGATTTAGTTGGACGACCTTTATGAAAGGTCACATCCAGTCACTGCAGAAGATTGTCCACAATAGGTCTCACCTTGTGCATTCAATTCTCTCACAAGAGAAAGGAAATAGAACTGTCTAGTCAGTCCTGCCACGAATATAAATCGCTCTCCCAGCCTCACATTCCCGAAATACAGATCTAACATTCAAAAGACTCCAGTGCGGCCTGCTATTACTGCGTCATAGAGCAGGGCTCTCCAAAGTACGACCCGCGGGCCGGTAGCTAATTGGAAAAAAATCTTAATTGACCAAATTCATTTCTGACCTTTTAATACGAAAAGAGCACATTTATGTCTATTTGTGCTCCTATACTTTAAAGAAGTGTGGATTTGATAGAATGGAATTTGTCGAAAATGTTTCCCACTTGTAAATAAGTTTCGAGACCGCTGTTGAAGAGCATTGCACATCACTGATTCAGTAGCAATTAACCTTTAAACTCAACTGACGTACAGAAAATTATTGATATTTTGTAGCAGTAATGTTGCTCCGTCAAACGGAATAATGCAGGCAGGATTAGGCACGGCCTAGGACGTGCGTGTTTCGAAAGTGGTCTCTGAGGTGGCTGATCTGCTCTTTCGCGAAGTACCTGAAGTAAACATCTTACTTCCACAACTTGTTGCTGAGACATTGTCTCTTATGTATTAATACATACCGAGGCTCCCACAACTGCTGCAGTTCCACTTGCAACTTTTATTTTTAGCACAGTTAAACACATTCATAGCAGTTAGTCGTTCTTTGATTCTACGCTGTATACGACTAGCATCAGCTATTTATATAGAAACACACACTCCGTCATCAACATTGTTAGTAGTGTTGTGGAGTTTACCATGTTGACTTTACAGACCCTTACGAAAAAAGTTGTTTTGAAGGACCACTTCTACATTAGCGAGTAGGGCAATGAACATCTAAACCAACGTAATGTGAAGATTTCTGTCTTCTGGGTTGTTGCGCTGTGTAGTCTGATAGATGTTTACCAACGTTTCAGAGGTCATACTGCCTCCGTCATCAGGGCGATGAAAACGTTGGTTAACATCGACCAGTCTACACAGCGCAACAACCCAGAATACATAAATCTTCATACTCACCGCTGTGAAAACCTCAAATCTTACATAACTTAATGTGGCGCCGTCTCTCCTGAGAAGCTAATACTTGCTTGGCTAGGCAACAATTCGCTCGTATCTCGTGGATCACGAAGGTTTATTACCGTGTTCACAAAAGTCAGCCTCTGGTTATAATTATGAGCCAGATAAATCCAATCAAAACTGTCCTACACAATTCATGTAAGATCCGTTTGGATATTACCCTGTCATTTACATCTAGATCTTCCGAGCGGTCTCCTGCTTTCAGATTTTCGGGTCATATCTCTCTGAGCTTATCGTCTATCCCATGGACTTCACATACTCCAGGACCTCTCATGCTCTTTATTTGATTAGTATGAAACCTCCTCCAGTCAGCTGACACTTTTTCTTCCCTAGATTTAAATTTCTTCAGCATTCCGACACCTGCCAGACTCAGTCTTTAACGCGACGGCCCTCGAAAAATACTCATAACGCAACAGAAGTAGTAAGTCTCGATTACATACATACCGTTTGCCAGTTAGGTAATCTATAAAACTTTATCATCATAAATAATTTTGACTATATGTAAGAGTATACCTTAATCTTCTCTCGCCTTACTTACCGTTTCGAATTAAAATTAATTCTGAGGCAACGAATGTTTTCTGCACGCAGGAGGAGTTGACAACAGAAGTCAGCAAAGAAACAGCCGAAAAATTAGAAGAAGAAAAATCGAGCCACTGAGGAAGAATATGAGAAATCAGCCAGTATTAAACCAAAATTGAAATTAATGCCGCTTCAGGTTTTATATGGCGAAGTGTATTGTGTTGAATAAATTTCAGTACGCTGTTGGAAATGCAAAGAAAATCTCGCAAACGATGGTCGATATTACGACTAGCTTCTGGAATTTCAGTAATTAATTTTCATCACATGGTCACTAATTAATTAGTATATCATAGCAGTGTTAGTGCCACTAATTGTACTCGATTTTAATCACAACTCGTGTTTTTCCTGGCCCAAAGCAGAATATTCCTGTTTCCTAGAAATTCTGAACAAACTATTTCATTCTCTGAAAGTTCCGTTTGTGAATATGCGACACCAAATGACGGGAGAAAATCCTTGATGTGCGGTGAGAAGGGCTTACGTCAGTACAAATTTCGTATGACTTAACTCGTTTTCAAAGAACAAAACATTATAATACTATAGGGAATTATAGACTCGTGTAGTATATATTTCATGCCTTGTATAGTCCAGTTGTACTATCATTTTCATCAACACCTTATTTTGAATTTTAAATAAACAACGTCCGTCTTGACTAACGTCCCTTTTCTAACCTTCTGCTGCTTTCTGGGGTCGAGGCCATTACAACAAGATGATGCTAACCACTTCTCCTTTACACTTTCGAATTCTGTTAAGGAAACAAGCTGTTACTCTAATCAAGTTTCATCACACTAGATTCGTCACAGCAACATATATAATCTTTAACCCACTGCCGTAGGACCTACTGATTGTACATTGAATTGGATACTCAACATTGTATATAAAAAATAAAAATCCATAAATAAGTCAATAAAAATTGCAATAAAACTTCTTAAAGGTACACTATATATGTTTCTTAAAAAGTAAATTATTCTGACTTTCACCCGGCGACCTTCACAGACGTCGAAAATACTGTCTCTCGTGGTCTTCTGCGTTGTGACGCCGTGTGGTCTTGTAGGTTATTACGTACGTTTCGGAGGAACGTATTATCTCCATTTTCAGGCTGAAAGTGTAAGCGACACGTTTATTCGAAATGCCGGTAACCACCTACAAGACCACACGGCGTCACAATCCAGAAGACCACCATCGACATTGTCACCACGGCGAGAATCTCAGCTCTCATGTACATCAAAGCAGCTGCTCTGGAACAGGGAACAGACGACACACGACCATGAAAACGTGTCAGTTGGCTGAGTTTGCACTGATCGACCGGCCGCTAAAGAATGGAATAAAATACGGCATAATGGTAAATGATTTAATTAAATTTCCAGTTTTCCGTTACTAAAATATGACCAGAAAAAAGACAGACAGTTTAATTCCTTCTTTATTTTGCGATGTGAGAGTGTGATGGCGGACGATCGACTGCTGAACGATGTAAAACCGAGCAGGGTTTCTTCTGCAGTTCTAAATACTGTGACTGTACAGGACTGCTTTCGACCTTTTCCTTCTTAACTCTCACTCATTCATCCCATTTATAAATTTCGTTATGTGGTCGCGTGAACAAACACTGATCACTCGAGCTTGTAGTCTTTTCACACAGATAGCAGCAGCAGTAATGATACTTTGAGTGGGGGGGGGGGGGGGGGTTGTGAAGGCGGGTTATATGCCCACAAGAATCGCAGTCATCATCAAAATGACAATGAGCAAATGAATAGGCGGCTGGGATGAAGATGGCGGAAGTCGGTCACAGCTAGCAGTGTTGGTGCTGTTGCTGCTATTGTGATGCTGTTGCGCCCGACGTCTGGCTTTTGTTCTCGTATCGGTATATACTGCCGTGCTTTGGTTGCTGGGCACAGACATGTTACAGTACATCTCGTCACAACATGACACACAAACCTGAAAACAGACAATGTCGTATTAATTGTCGAGATAACCTACTTCGTCGGTTGTTAATGGTTCCTTAGGTGCAAAACGCAACAACAGGGGTCATTTTTGTACTCAAGTGTTTTAATTTACAGCACTGTAAGAAAAAATAGCTCACGTATCATCAGCAAAGCGAAAGAAAAGTTCTATCATTTGTTTGCTGGAAAATCCAGTTTGACGAATTACTTTCTTTCTTTATTTTTTGTTTCTGCACAAGATTTGAATATAAAAAACATTCAAAATATCATTAGCCTCGTGGTATGCGAGGATTTTAATTTAAATAGCGTACATAACAGCTTTAATAAATTTCATGAGACGATAGCAGATTAGATTATTTTAGCCTGTAAACGAAATAAGAAACAAACAATGTTTTTACAGATTTCTTCCATATTTTACACAGCGCTTAAGATGAAATTGAAATGAAATCGTTATGGAAGTAGAAGTAAGGCCTGTGAAAGAACATGGAAAATTTTTATTGTTTAGGCTAGAACTAGGCCCAATAGGCCGACTAGGAAGAATACTAAAACTAATTCATAAACAATTATTTATTTTAATCCGTCTGATCCGTCTGATATTTTATTATCTTAATTATAAGAAATTTTAAATATTATGATCAGACGGATTAAAATAAATAATTGTTATAATATTCACAATATGACGCAATTACACTACCTAATTCATAAAATTAATAAAATTAAAATTTTTGAATGTGGAAACCATAAAGAACCACCGGTTCTAAAATATACGGGAAATTTTTTGACCAGCTGAATAACTGCTAGATTACATATGAGTGTGTAACGTCCACCGCAAGTTTTCCTTCTAAAATTCTTGAATATAAATATGTGAATAAGTGTGTGCATGTCAATACAGTTATTCGCTTTGAACGGGTGTTAGTAGTGTAAGCTGAGAGATGGCGTTCTTTCTGTCGGAAGTTAAAAGTTTTATGGCAGTTTAAGAATGCCAGAAGTTATATAAACAGATAGGTAAAAAAGGAAAAGTCATTTTATATCATCCAATCAATGTCTGCGTTACTGTAACACAAATAATGTCATGAGTTGCGTACCCAAAAATTGGATAAACTGCATCACAGTTCAGATAACCACCGAAAAAGGCCATTGATTGGTTAGAAATCCTGTTTTGTATTCGAATATCGAATCGATTAGGAGACCAACTGTAGTAACGTAAGAGTTTCATGGTTTTCCTCAGTAACCTACATCCAAACGAATGTTAGAATTAGTAGTAGGCCACGACCGTTACCTTCCACATTCATTAAATTGCATGATTCACAGTACATCTACAGAACGACTCTGTGTGACGTGTGTAGTTGAAAAATGTGTTAAAACCAGCAAACAATCAATTCAGGTATCCCAGACAAAAAAGGAAACATTAATAGTAAGAGATGACGTTTAATGCATGCTGTTGCTAGGCTAGGCAAGGGTCGTCATGAAATACTGGCAGCGTTCACTAGTTTTTTTCACTTATCGGTATTGGATAAAGGTCATTTTGGTGTAGCGAATGAAGTAAATTAATGTATCAACGGTCAAGAGGTGAAGAGGGAAAAATTAGTTTTTCGGTACTTGTATTTGAATCTGTGGGTGACTTCCAGTAATATAAATAAATCAAGCTGATAGATGGTTTTTATCGTGAGACATTTACAGTCGTGAATGAAGATACTGATTATGGTGCGATCTATCTCATTCCCTGGTAGCAGAATTCGAGGCTTTAACACCGCTGATACCAACGCCCTTCTCCGCTGGACACGATCCTGAGCCAATTCCATTCAGCTCCCACATTCAAAACTCAAATTACTGTCATCCTCCCATATCCTCCTCCGTGTTCCAAGCAATCAACTCCGCAGAAATTTCTGGACTTCGATCACAAGCGCTGCTAGCCACAACATGTATTTCGCAGATATTCCTCTGACATTTAGTTTAACGTTGCTTTATACAAAAAATAACATGTCATTAAGGCCAAAATTGTTTAAAATAATCGCCAAAAGGGCAGTTATTTCCAGAAATTTTAACCATTTATTACAAATTTGTCGACGATAATAATAGAATCTCTTGAAATAAGACTCTAAAACAAAAGCACCATAAATATTTTCACCCTGTCCCTTTGTTCATTAAAATACAGATGGGTGTTTCGCCTTCTCCTTTGTCCTGGTGCAAATTATTTGGAGATCTTGTGAATTATTGCAGGGAAACCCAGATCCTTCTAAATTACACAAAGCCATATTATGACTCTGCTACACCAAACTGTGGGCTTTCGTTTGTCACGAAGAAGTCAGATTTCGTTAACGCATAACCAAGCCAGTGTGGAAAGAAGAAATTATCTAAATGTCAGTGTTTGTGTTTATATTTCTTTCCTACGATATTGGCCTCTAAATTACCTGTTATAAACAATATATTCCAAGAGACTGGAATGTTTTTAGGCTTGTTAATTGATGTGGGCTGGAAGGATATGTCATAGGTTTGGTGCTTAGAAGAACCCAGAAGGAACACACAAGATCGAATCGAAACCTGAATTAAAGTTAGTTACAGTCAGGTACAATGGTCTCCCGAGTATTGATTTTACTTTCACATGTATGAAAACTGTAAGGTGCAATGCAAAATATTTCTTATCATTTTTATTAACTCTTTTGTATTATGAGAATATTGTTAAAGACCTACAAGAATACGCCGCGTTACAGAACTGGAGACTGTAGTAATTTTTTTCACCGGCGTGATGAGATCAAAACACAGCTTAACATCTTAAAAAATAAATATATTTTAACACATGCAAAACCACCAGGTTCAGTTTCGTTTGTTTGAATTAAGCAAAATTATCTGTGTTCTAGAAAATATCGGATCGTGTTGTTTGTGTGATATTTGTACGAAGTGCTTAAATGAACGCGTAACTTGAATGTCTGTCCGTTCACGCCCATGTTTTAATCTATAAAAGAGCTTGAAGAATTTTAATAAAATCTATTCTGCAAATGTCTTGTACCCATTTGTTGTCCCCACCCTGCGTGCTACATGCCCCATGCATCTTATAATTCTCGATTGAATCACCTTAACAATACTTGACAAAGCGTACAATTTATGACGCTTTTAACTGTCTACATCATTCTCTTTCTTAGATCCATGCACTCCCGTAAGCACTAGGTCATATAAACAAAATATATTTGGAAATCCCATAGTCTCTTTGGTAGACGAAGAGGATTGGCGCTAATATACTTTGCTTCTGACTTTTGGATTAAACATCCCTTAAAATAGCGACTACAAATCTACCGTGAAATTGAGTTACTGGCTAAACTTCCCTGTATCACGCAGTTTAAACACAGTGTTGTAAAACTGATTTTGATGCGATATGGCGAATGGGGTTTCTACTTCTGCAACCGGCGGGTCTCTGCTTCGCGCACCCAGAACGTCATTAATTCTGTCGACACTCGGTATACACTTAAGTAGGAAGGAGCACATATAATTTTAACTGTCTGCCGTTCTGTAGACTACCAATCAGACAGACTGCTCGAAAATTATTTTGCACAGTAGTTCATAACATGTTACAGGTCACTGGAAAGCCAGTTACCCGTCAGCCGGATTAAGTCTTCTGAGAGTCTTGACCTATTCGTGGCTTAGGGTACATATTTTATGTTTCCAGCAAACTTCTCTTACCCCAGCTAATGCCTAAGATAAGTAACGATGGTACTACACATTCAGCCAGGTTACGGTACAATCATACAGATTCCCATACACCAGTGGTCCATGTTCTTATTTGACCAAGAGAAGGCGTATGAATTGAAGTAAATTTGGAAAGAAAATGTGAACTGACTTTTAAATTTAAAGAATAAGCTATCACACGGATGACAGTTTGACAGCTAAACATTCTAGAACACATTTTGTATACGTGCCTGGATGTACGAGGCGCGTCCCAAAAGTAAGTTTCCCACTCGTCCCACAGCTAGCAAACCTTATATTGAGCGAAGCGACTGTGCGTACGTGATAGAGCAATGACGTAGCATGGCGCATGCACTAACGGCACTTCCCGCCTTCTCACAGTAGCATCGTTGCAGCTGTTGAAGATGGAGATTCTTATTCCAGCTCCCGCCGACTGTGAAGTGCGGTCAGTGATAA